GGGACCGCCAGCCCCGCAGCCCTGGGTCACCAGTCCCGCTCGGCCGGTTCTCGGTAGGGAAGGCCTAAGAGGCTGAAGACGTCCTTCTCCGTTGGGGTGGGCAGTGCTCGGCCAGGCCCCAGCTTGACGCCGCGGCTGTTCCGGTTCACGGCCGTGCTGAGCGCGTGCTCCGACAGGCTCATGCCCTTGGTCTTGGCCAGAGCCCGCATGGAGCGGTTGAAGTGGGCAGAGCCGGTGAAGTAGAGCAGGGCGCAGGCCAGCTCGCAGTAGGGCACCACGATGATGTCCAGGCGTCGGTGCCGCCGCCCCGGGCCGGGCAGCCGGCACACTCCCAGGTACTTCTGCTGCTGCCCGTTCTCCTCGTGGCTCACCAGGTCGTCTGTCAGGAACCCTGGTCCAGCACGGGGGAGGGTGGGGAGTGGCCCAAGCTGGCCCGTCCTCCCCGGTGCTCCTAACCTGGCGCTCTGTCCCCAGCTCCCTATTTGTTTGCTGCGTGACCTGGCTTCTCTGGGCCTGTCTCCTTGACTGCAAATCACGGAAATTCTCCCCCTCTCCCCCACAGCATCCCAAGAGGCTCGGAGGAGACCCCAGCCTGCGGGTGTCACTGCGTCCCTTGTGCAGGTGGGAGGCTTTTTCAGCCGTTCCTGAGAGGACTCTGGCCTTCTTACAAAGCACGTGTCCCCTGCTCCCTGCAACTCTGAGGTTCTCCCTCCCTATCTCCCTACTGGGGACACCAGCCCGGGCCTGCTCCGGCCAACCTGCCCGCCCAGAGCTGGAATGCATACCTCGCTGCCGAAGGCTGTCCAGAAGGAGACGGAAGACGCCCTGGTGAGACCGGCCATCCGGGTGAGTGACGAGCACGTCCACGTCACCACAGGTCGCCTTCCCCCGTCGGTATGAGCCACATGCCACACACAGCAGCCCAGGGTTGAGGGCCTGAGCTGCTTCCCGGACCTGGGAAAAGAGAAGGGAGGGCTGGGGCTGGGGGCCTCATGCCCCAGAAGCAGCTCCTCTCCCCTGACAGCAGGGGGCCTTCCCTGACCCTGGGCCACATCCCAGCGCCTGCCCTAGTCAACCCTGGCAGCCAGCTGCCAGCCCGAGGGAGGCCACCCCGGGCAGCTGCTGTCCTCGGGCCTCACTAGGATGGGGAAGGAGAGGCTGGCTGCAGGCAGGGAAGGCGTGCTCTGCTCTGGAGGAAGGGCATGCAGCCTCCCTCTGGAGTTTCTCCTGGCCCCTGCCCCAACCATGTGCCCAGGCCTGTGGAACCCGGCTTAGACAAGGGACAGGCCAGGAGGGCCTCAGCCAGCGTGTGTGAGTGGGGGCCTGGGCAGGTGGCTGGCAGTCCGCCCTGGGCCAGCCCTGGGAAAAATGGAGCCCAGAAACCTAACTGCAGAAGGGGGAAAGAGAGGGAGCAAAGAGAGGGCCCGTCCAGCCAGCACCCACATCCAGTCCTGGTGGGGAGGCAGCTGGACAGAGGAACTGGCAGCAAGGACCACCCCTAGTGGAGAGAAAGCCAGCCCATCAGCCTTCCCCAGAGACAGGAGGCTTTCACATGCAGATTCCTCCACCCCAGGGCGCTGGGGTTCTCGGGCCCTGGATACAGGCAGCCAGGACACCTCAGTTCTCCTGACTGGCAGCAAGTTTTGGCTAATCCCCTCACTCTCTTCTTGAGCCTCCCAAGAGAATGGGAGGAGGCTGGATGAGTAATCCCATCAAAACTCCCAAGGCTGGAGCCCTGGGTGGGAGGCAAGAGAAGCCAGGTGGGAAGCTCTTCTGTTCCAATGGGCTGGGGGCTGGGGCCTGCCTGGGGTATTCTCTGTGCCCGGACACCGTGGCTGAGTGACAGTGTCAGCACTAGCACCATGGCCTGGTGATGGGTGGACAAAGGGGCCTGTCTATCCAGGCCGTTTGTGGCCTGGAGCGGAGTGGAGGCTGATTTCAACCAAGCTGGTCTTGCCTCTGCTGCGCAGTCTGACCCCATCAGAATCCTCACCGAAACAAGCCCGAGAGGGCGAGAACTGCCCACGAGGAGCAGCCGTGAGGGCCGACGCCAGATGAGCAGATGAGACTCCCAGCCCTGCAGGAGCCCTCGTCCCACTCACAGTTTACACTGTGTCGTCGGGAAAGACATGACGTATTTTTCTATACAAAAATGTGTCATGACTTTTCCAATGACCCAATATAAACCCAACCTCTAACTCAACTCGAACCACATGGTCTTCCTGGCCAAACCTCCTTTCTTCTTCTTTTTGAAAATTATTTTATTGACACTAGCAGCGTAATGGCTATGTCGCTGGACTCCCATGTGGTCAACCGCGGTTCGCATCCCGGACCTGGTGGCTTAAGACTCCCACTAGGCACGCAGGCGTGTGTGCCCAAGATCCCGAGAGGAGAATGGAGGAGAAGGGACTGTGGTGTGGCCATCCCCCCTGAGGGGTGATTTCTCGCTTTCTGTCTCTCTGCTATAGCGCACACGCCCTATAGCAAAAACCTCTCCAAAAAAATTATTTTATTTAACTTTATTTATTCATTTGTTTATTTTAATTTGACCAGAGAGGGAGAGAGGAAGTGAGAAGGCAAGCCACCAGGTCCAGGACTTGAATCATGGTCAGCCATGATGCAGTCCAGCACCCTTAACTACCTGCCAAACCTGCTGGCCCCCAAACCTTATTTCTTAGATGACGGGACTCTGACCCTAAAGCAATCAATGCTAAGAAAGCACCACTCCTAATGGAGCCTTCCCCTTACCTGGACCCCAACCAAGCTGTCCCTCATCCCATGCCGAGTCCTAGCGGCACGGGCCTACACCATCTCTAACCCGAGCCCTGGCCGGCCAGGTGGGCTCCAGAAGCCCTGCTCATCTGCAGAGACATGAAACCTTCCACATCTGTGCATTCTGCAGGCAAAGAGCCCCTGTGTTTCATTCAGTAGGTTCTCAAAAATAACCAACCAAGGGAGCCAGCAGTTAGCATAATGGCTATGTCGCTGGATTCCCAGATACTCGACCGCGGTTCGTGTCCTGGATCCGGTGGCTTAGAACTCACACTGGGCGCATGTGCGTGCATGCCCAAGATTCCGAGAGGAGAATGGAGGAGAAGGGATTGCGGTGTGACCATCCCCCCTGGGGGGTGATTTCTCGCTTTCTGTCTCTATGTCTCTCTCTCTCTGTCTGGTGAGCGCACGCGCTCTATAGCGAAAACCTCTCAAAAAAAAAAAAAAGTTCAAAAATAACCAACCAACCAAACAAACAAACAAACCCATTAAGAACCCCTTCCCTTGGGGCCGGCAAGTGGCATGGTTGTTAAGGGGTAATGGACTCCCACATGGCTGACCACAGTTCGAATCCCGGAACTGGTGGCTTGCTTTCTCACTTTGCGTCTCTCTCTGTGTCTCATTCTGTCCTTCTCTGGTCAAGTTTAAATAAATAAATTGAAGTTAAAGAAAATAATTCTAAAAAAAAAAAAAAAAAGAGAACCCCTGCCCTGGCGTGTCCCAACCCAGCCCAGTTTAATAACCTAAGTGGCGGGAACCAGCAGTTAGCATAATGGCTATGGCGCTGGATTCCCACATAGTCGACCGCGGTTCGTGTCCCGGACCCGGTGGCTTAAAAAACTCACGCCGGGCGCGTGTGCGTGCATGCCCAAGATCCCGAGAGGAAAATGGAGGAGAGGGGATTGCGGCGTGACCATCCCCCCTGGAGGGTGATTTCTCGCTTTCTGTCTCTATGTCTCTCTCTGTCTGTTTGGCGAGCGCACGCGCCCTACAGTGAAAATCTCTCAAAAAAAAAAAAAAAACCTAACTAAGTGGCTGGGCCCTAAACCTCCTCCAACACGGCCCTGACACTAACACACGCAGACATCTAATGCAGACCAAGTCTGCTGATCGCCCGGCACACCAACCCGCTAGCCCTGAGAACTGCCGTGGCACCTCTTCCCTCCTGGAGCCACCCAGCCCCATCATGGGCCTGTGGCTTCTGTCTCAACTGGTCATTCCTCACTGTCTGGCGACCACAGCTTCCCTTGCTGTGGGTATCCCGGCTAAGGGATGAAGGGCTCTTTGAGCCAGAACCTTACAGCAGGGCCTGGCCCTCCTCGCCACTCGGGGCCCAGCTTACCGTCTGCTCGATCTCTGCGGCCTCCTCCCTGGGCATGCGATCCAGGAAGTCATCGTAGTGCTTCAGGCCGATGGCCTGCTGGGTCGTCAGGGTGGCCTGTGTGCGGATGTCTTCCAGGCTTCGGAAGCCCTGGAGAAAAGCAGCCAGATGGGAGGCTACGAGGACCCAGGACAAGTGAGAGGCATCAATAAGCACATACACGAGGCTCCCAGCACCCCAGCTCCAGGGAAGGCCTCAGCCAGGACCAACCCCAGGGGTGGTGAGTCTGTCCTTGGTGGGCTGTGAGCAAGGCAAGATGCAGAGGGGACATGCCACAGCCCAGCCCTACAGCATCCCAAAATACTGGTTCACGTCCGATCATGGGGCCAGGCCTGGCCATCCCACTGTTACTGAGCTCCCAGGGAATCCTGGGTGGGGCCAGTCTGGGAACTGCTCTGGCCCGCAGCTCTGAGGCCTCGTCTCCTGGGGAGGGCCCTTGATGGTCTGGGGCACAGAGAAATCTGCTTCTTGTGCCTGCCTGCACCTCCAGAGTACCAAGCAACAGGGCTGTTCTGGGAGCCAGGGGAGGGGTCTCTGTGAGTTCTGGTCCCCTTCGAAAGCCTGGTCTGGGTTCATCCTCATCAGAGCACTGGGTGCAGGAAATCTGGGGCAGGAGCTCTGAGATCCGGCAAAACTGAAGTGGGCTGGGTTGGGGTCTGACCTGATAGTACCACATCCGGGCAGTCTTGGTCCCAGCTCCCCAGATGTTGGAGAAGAGCTCCAGGACAGGCACGCTGTCGCTGACGTGGTCCAGCTTCCGCAGGTGCCCGCTCTCCAGGATCTCCAGGACCTTCTCGGCCATGCGCTTCCCGATCCCAGGAATGCTGCAGGCCTCCTAGAGGCAGCAGCCGCAGAGGCAAGGAAGAAGCATGAGAAGGCAGCGGAGTAGAGCCGCGGAGGGAAACTGACCCTTTCTGCAGATGCCTGCGCACAGGCCGGCTGGGCCGGATGGCAACTGCGCGGCTGCGAAACGCGTGGGCACAGGTGAGGAGCGTGGGTGGCTTGGGGCCGGGGGATTCAGCTTGTGTCCGGAGGGATGAGGACCAGCAAGAAGTAGGGAATAGCACTAGCTGCCATCAGCGTCAGTGTAACTGCCAGGGCTAACATTCGCTGGGGCTGGGGCTCACCGGACCAGTCTCTGCTCCACAGTCTCTGCTCCACGGGACCATCTCCCCTCACACTCCCCAGAGCTGACATTCCCTGGGGCTCACCGGACCAGTCCCTGCTCCACAGGACCATCTCCCCTCACACTCCCCAGAGCTGACATTCCCTGGGGCTCACCGGACCAGTCTCTGCTCCAGGGGACCATCTCCCCTCACACTCCCCAGGACACTGAGAGAGAGCTGCTATTTGTTTGCTCGTTCTTTTGTTGGAAAGATTTATTTATTTAATCCCATTTGTTACTACCATTTTTTCAATTTGATCAGAGAAAGAGAGAAAGGGAAAGTGAGAAGGCAAGCTGCCAGGTCCGGGACTCAAACTTCAGTTGGCCATGTGGGAATCCAGTGCCTTTAACTACCATGCCACCTGCTGGCCCCGTGGGCTGCTATAATTAGCCCCTTTTTACTGATGAAAAAATTGATGCTCAGGAAGTTTAAGTAACTTGTCTAGGGCCAGTCAGTGAATTTTGGAAAGCAGAACTAAACTGTGGTCTGTTAGGCTCCAGAGTCTGCTTTGTTTTTGGTTTTTTGTTTGTTTGTTTTTTGCCAGAGGCTACAAGAGCTCCCCGGAGAGAGACAGAGAGGAAGAGTGAGAAACCACCCCCCAGAGGGGATGGCCACACTCCAATCCCTCCTCCTCCGGTCTCCTCTTGGGATTTTGGGCACACACATATGTGTATACAGCATGATTTTCAAGCTGCCAGGTCTGGGGCTTGAATCGTGGCCAGCCATGTGAGGATCCTGTGCCTTAACCACCATGCCACCTGCTAGCCCCTGGAGTCTGAAGGTTTTTTTTTTTCCCCCTAAGAATTTTCTTATTTAACTTTATTTATTTATTTTTATTTGACCAGAGAGGGACAGAGTGAGAAAGAGGAAGAGACAGAGAAAGAGAGAGAGAGAAAGAGAAAGTGAGAAAGCAAGCTGCCAGGTCCAGGACTCGAGCCATGGTC